TATTCAGTTGGAGATCAACATATACCTGAGCAAAAGTGCCGTCCATCTCCAAGGTGTCCAAATTGGCAGCTGCAATTGAATGATCCAGCGGTGTTTGTACAATCGGCCGCATCATGACAGTTATGGCTACCATCGTTACACTCATCGATATCTAAACATTGTAAAATCAAACAGCAAAAACTGGAGGAATTAAAAACACTCCAGGCAATTTACACCTTGCGTGAAATTCCCTATAAATTGGGGAAGGGAATCAAATAGAGTTAGAGGCCAGTAAGTGTAGCAAACTCCATCGGTGACTTTTGAAGGCATACGATGTGCATTGAAGTGATAATAGTAGATAATAAGGGAAAAAAAGCCAACAAGTTGGTAGCCACGTTCGGCTTTGTTTTTGGTCTCTGCCTATGGTATAGCTGGTTAGCCTTAACGAGGCCAAACTAGCTGTAGATGGTATCTATCTTGATGGCCTACATGCCTACAGAGCAGGCGTAATCTACATCGTGTTAAGTGCGAATCTGTGGCTTGAACATGCTACTCAGTTACCTCTCGTATCCCCATGTATCAGTTACTTTCTGTCGTTACTCTCTGTCTGTCTGTCTCTCACTGTCTGTCTCTCAATCTGTCTGTCTGAATAAGATATAAATGATAGCTAACCTAGTTTTGTTAACTTTCTCTTATTCGATATGTAAGACTTGCTGTCACCACCATCGTTGGCGGTCTATATACATGTGTCCACTATTTTTCTTTTTGTCTTCATTGTCTTCATTGTATACAAATCTTACCTTGACAGGTCTCTCCATCGTCAATATATCCAGGTCTACAATGTGAGCACTGATATGAACCCAAAGTATTGACACATTCGTGCTCAGCGGGACAATCGTGTTTTCCTGATACGCATTCATCAACATCTACACAGAATTTAAGAAAAAAAACAAAGCTAAAAACTCCCCAGGATGAGACACCTCGTCCAACTTTATGAAAGTGGCCCTGCGTATCTGTGTAATTTTTTTCTGCTCCTCTTCCTGCCTGTCCTTTTCACATCTTTTAAGCCAAGATTCTTTTGCTTGTTCTCCTGTCTTTTCTCCGTGATGTTGCACGAGCAATTTTTTGGAAATTATAGCTGCTTAACTTAACTGTAAAACCAATTAAATATTGAACTGTCTGAACTCATCATTTTAGAGGTTTTTCTCCTCACC